ATTTTATGCCTACCATGAAAAATGTTTGGTCTTTTCCTAGTTTGAATATGCTGTGGAAAATTTATTAAACAATATAAATACGCGATTCAAAGAACTCAAAATACCTCAAATTGTGAAATTGGCACCAATCAGGATACAACATGCTTTTAGTTAAGTTATAGATCTATTCTGGTCTGTATTTTATGTCACAACTGATGTTTTTAAATAGACGTAAATCAACAGAATACTTTAAAACTTGGTAAGGTAAATGTTTACACCTTTTTAATTAGTATTCTAACAGCTTTATTAAGGGAAATTGCTGATGTCTAATCATGGTTGCTCAAAGTTGAACAGGTCACTGAAGTCCAAAGCTGTATTTATAAACCATATTTAACACAGTGTTTAATGTCTCTTCCTTACAGAACATTTAGGATATTCAGGGACATTTAAAAAAATGACTTTTAAGCATTAAAAGGATTGTTTTGGACATGCTAATGTTAAGCTAACAGCTCATTGGACGCGGTCACCAACCAGAGAGGCCATGTGACCTTCAGCTGTCTGAAAGTCAACTGGTATTTGGTCAAATAACAAACAAAATCCATATAAAACCAGCGTATTTACCAGTCAGGTCAGCAGTAGCTTTGGCAAATCGGTACATGTCTCGTTCAGCGTTTTCAGATACCCTTGAAGAACGGAAGTACAATATGGCCGCCGCAAATATTTAAACCGGAAGCTGTGAGGCGTTCGAGTTTCGTCGTTTAAACAGAAGCTAAAAAACCACTGATGTTGTTTTCCGCTTTTAGAAAACTAACACTGCATATGTGTGGGTTGCAAAACTAATAAAAGTTATAAAAAATAATAATGTAGATAATTATGTTGACAAAGCGCAACAGTCTTCTTTATAAGGAAAAAAAGAGCTTTGAGTTCCCAGATTGTCTGACGGTACCTTTAACGCGGCATCGATGCGCATGCGCAGAAAATTGCTGAAACTTGTTACAAAATTGAGTAAAACAAAGGCCTAACGTAATGAAATGCTATTATTGATCATAATGAACATTATTAATATCATACAACTACYACACGTCAGTACTGACATAGAAATACTTCTGAGATACATATAAATACTTCTGAAATACTTTATTGTGACACCGTGTCARGATGGCCGAGTGGTCTAAGGCGCCAGACTCAAGGATCGACTCCTTCCGTAAAAACGGGACTTCTGGTCTCCGAATGGAGGCGTGGGTTCGAATCCCACTTCTGACACATCTTTTTTTTTCCTGGCTGTCTATATGGTCGTTAAAATTATTTTATTTTGAATACAGTGAAACATGTTACACATGCTACTTCACATTAAATGTTTTTGTATTTAAAACGCACACAGTAAAATATGGTTTTAACACTTGAGGCAGCCTAAATCTTTATCTTCAACATAAACCTGTTTAAAGAAAGCTCAGTACCAATATGTTTTTATTCAAATGACGAGTCATATTTATTTTATATCTTTTATTAAATCAAAATATCATTTGAGGATGACAGAATGACATTACACAGAAAAAAAATCGCTTTGTCAAGTTAGTTAAAATGTTGGCTAAAATTAATATCAGGACACGAATATAATCAGAAAATCAAACATGGTTTTTTCTCCTGGATATCTATTTAAGCTTAATTATTTTTAGCAAGCACAGCCAGTCTTTAGTTTTATGTTGTTTACTCGGTCATAGAAAAGGTAAACACTGGTTATTCAGCCCACAGGGAATTTGGACTCGTTGCCATGACAGCTTTAGTGTTAAAATGTTTAAACAAAGCGTCAAGTAAATAAGTAAAAAGATTGTTTTATCTTTCATTTGTCGGGTTGAAACAGCRGTTCGGTTTGAAGCAAATCACATTTTTACTACTTTTATCATCTAAAACTGAGCTTTATTTTAGTGTTTCTTCCACCGCCCACTAAAATAATAAAGTTTTACAAAATTCAAACCAGGGGTCTGTTTATAATACTGTCTAACAGCTTACGGAAATTGTTTGATCACTTTTAAAGACAGTAAATAACTAAAATAGCTATAAAAAAGATACTAAATAACTAAAATAGCTATAAAAAAAAGGGTAGCGCAAACACAGAACAGAAAATCAGATTGTCACTGTGAATATTTGTGAAAACAGAGAAAACAATCTGAGCTGGAAAAGAAACAAAAATGTCAGAATGTGTTCTCATTTATTTACCGCAATCAAAAAAAAAATTACACATTTTTCCCATCAGTCTTCCTGCCTGCAGACTTCTGAAATGTTAACTGTTTCTGGTGAAGGCTAGAAATGGAGGATGAAATTTAAAATGATTCCTCTCAAACATTAACTACCAAGTGTTCTTATTTAACAGGTTTTCAGATGAATCACATGAACGGACCAGCTGGAATTAAACCCAACGTTAATTTTATGTTAATGCCCTTCAGGAAACAGTTTACTGCAGGATTGGTCCAAAACTTACACGAATGTAAAAAGCAAAAGGTTTTCTGGGAACGAGTCTAAAAAAAGGAGGCAGAAGTTCTGAAAGTCCAAACATTAAGGCATCTTTAACGTTCTTCCTCCTCGTCACTTTGTAGCTGCTTCAGTCCGTCTTCTTGTCTTTCCCCTCGTCGTCGTCGGTGTATTCTGTYGGATCCTCTCCGGGCTTCAGCAGCTTGCCGATGTAGTCGTACTTCACTGGAATCAGAATAAAAACAATTAAATTTTTCCTTTATTACACGGTTCAATTTCATGTCCAACTTTTAAAAAGTCACTTTTTTCTAAGCAAATAAAGTAGTTTGAGCTATAACTGGTACTCAAGTCAGATTGTTTTTACCAAAAATTATATTTTGTATGTAAAGATATACTTTAGGATACAATTGTGTACGTTTAAAACAAAACTTAATAAAAGGAACTTAAGATAATGTTTGAGCATCATCATCACAACACACGTCCTTAAATCAAGGCGTTTTCAAGTTATTACAATAAACAGCTTTTATTTTGACGGGTTGTTTCTGATGGCAGCAGCGGGCAGCTTTCATTTTGTAGTGAAACTTCTGGGGACAATAATGGCAACGTTTTTCAGAAGTGTTGTCGGTGAGTTCTCCAGCTGTGGAGGAAGATGAGCAAATATGCAAAGAACTGGAGGAAAAGAGGTAAAATACAGTTATCATGATAGTTAGGTGGTAAAACATAACTCATGTTTTCACATGATAGAAGGAAACATGCTCAGGTCCCAGTCATCTGCTGACAAATCCTGTTTTTTCATATGGCAGGGTTAAAAAAAATCTGTTAGTTTTTCCAATATTGTGCAGTCCTAGATTTTAGGATGTTATTAAAATATACAGAGAAAGAATGAAGTGTACTGTCACCACTGTACTAATCAGTTTCAGTAGTTTTTCTTGGTAAAGCCAACAAAAAGCTTTTCAATGGTGTGGAACAGGGGTGTCACTAGGTTTTAAGGACAAGG